AAATACTACTCATCAAGTTTATATATATATATATAAAAAGTTGTATTTTAAAAAATCTAATTTACTACAAGGCTACAAATATTTATAATCAATTAAAATATTGATTAAGAAAATAGAATAAAAATTATTAAATTAGATTCAAATGATGTTTTAATATAAATAATAATTTTTAAATCTTGTTCAAATCCTTATTGTCTTATGGCTACATGATTAGGGTTATTAAAATGACTCTTTGTTTGTGAACAGCTCGTGTTCGGCTCGTTAAGCAAACGAATCGAACACGAACACACTTTTTAAGCTCGAAATATAAACGAGTCGAACACGAGCTGAGCATGGCTCGCTCATGGTCAGCTCGTTTACACCCCTACCTTCAACCCATATAACGAAACTTCCCCTGATTAGACAGATGTTTTCGCTCCACGTCAGCATCTGTCCCTTATCTAGTATACGAGTCATACCTAACACATACATACCACACAATTTATATATATATATATATATATATAATATCTAAATGTTACTTTGTTATATATATGCCACCTTCAGTAGTGGATCTAGTGGATGATTGGGGGAGACGCTTTGCTACCCTGAATTTTTAATACTCTTTACATTCATTTAATGCACTAAAAATGTTGTCCTTTTATTTAACTTCTTAATAAAAATTCAATATTAACATATTTTTAATTTAATAATAATATTTATAATAGTTTTCAATTTTCTGCATGGAGGTGAAAGTCTTAAACTTCAATCCTCTTGCTTCATCTTTGTCCTGTAATAGTGATGTGATATAAAAAATTTTCATCTTATAGATGTATGCTAAAATTCAGCTGAGATATGAAAATACATACATAGGAATTGGTTGTTGTGTTTAGAAATGGGAAAAAAACTGCGTACGTCAGAGAGGTTTTTCAGAGGGCATTAGAGGTTTATATTTGTGTTATACCTCCTGTAACACTCATGTAACCTATAAATATATGAAAACAGGAGCGTGGAACTTACTAGAAGTTACAAGTAGGTTACAGATAAGTTACATGGATGTTACAGTGAGTATAACTCAAATATAATCCCTCAATACCCTCTGAATAATTTTCCTAACGTACGCAGCGCTGCGTACGTTTTACGTACGCAAATATTTCTCTTATAAATGACCCCAGCTGCAACTGAAATTTAAGATTTTTGCAATTGTTTCATTTTATTTTATATATTTATTTATTTATTTGACATTTACATGCATGCTACATGAATCTTATGAATTTACATCAACGTCTAAATTTTACTATTAACATTTACAAGACTCAAATATATCGCATTATATCAAATTATCTCTATTTTTAACATTTAAAGGGTGAAAATTAATTTTTTTATGCTTATGGAAAGTGCTATAAATGTAAAAATTAAAGTTTATAAATCTATCTTAATATAAAATTAGTGACGATTAGCTTAACATTAATTGATATAGTTCAATATGCTAACATACTAGTAAGTATTACACTAATACATACTAACTTTAAAACAAACATCATGGTTATATATATTTCAAATTTTAACTTGAAACTATATGAATGAATAAATGGAAATTTTGTATGCACACAACTCAATTTTTATGTAATTACACATCTAACCCTAAAAGTCTTATATCTATATTTATAGGAATTTGGCGATGACGTAATGTGATATAAATGTAAATACGAAAATATAGGTGTACCATATATAACAACATAAGAATTGAATTGTATGGCATGTATGTGAGTGATCCTAAACAATGTAATGAAGAGATTAAAATTTACATGCATACCATACAATTCTTAAGTATTTACATCTCTAACATTGAACATTCATATTTACATTCATAGCGCTCAAATCTTTAACATCAAATCAAAATTTTCATTCTTATATTTCCAAAAGTGAAATGCACATTTTATAAGTGCAAATATCATTTTGTTTTTTGGTTAGATGTGTAAATACATAAAAATTGAGCCAAAAACCCCAACAACCCAATGACATCTAAAAAGCTACATTGGACAGAACGTAGGCCTGCTTAATGATCTCAAATATACATACACTATAAATATGCACATATCAATATATATATATATATATATATATTAATGTTATAACATTCACACAACTAGACATAAAAACAACTGAGACGGTAACAAGAAAAAGAAACAAAACCAGAGGCATCCCAGTGGTGGAGCGGCAGATGGGGCGGTCGGAGCCCTTCCGGCGATCGCCGGCGTCACCTCTCGGCCATTAGGGGAGCTTTGCTGCTGGTTCGTCGGCAGTGGAGTATTTGTCCTGCTGTGCGGTGGTGGTGAAGTAAGAGGAACCCTTGCGCTGCTGTCAAGATTATGACCTATATTCATTTCAATGGAAACAATAGATTTGATTAGGGGATCTTCATATACATAGATTTGGAAGGATTTACATGCATACCACTCAATTCCCATGCATTTACATATCTAACACCTAAACTTCAATTTTTACATCCATGGCACCTTAAGAAAAGGTGTGTTTCAATTTTTGAAAGTTAAAATGGTGGTATTGTTTATGTTATATGAAAGATTGGTATAAATATAAAAAAAAACAAAAATTTGGATGTTAGAAATGTAAATACATAGGAATTGGGTGGTATGTATGTAAATACCCCATAAATGTAAAATACATTTGCTTTAAAGTAAGTGGAAGATAGCATTTTGATGTTTTTGGGGTTCCTGTTCAACTTGAAAGTTCAAACACATCAGTCTCTAACCCAACCTTTCTTAGTCACTTTTTAAGTATTATGGTATCAGTTCAAGTTCAGAAGTTGGGTTAAGATATGACCTGAATTTAAACCAACCTAAACCTGCACGACATGAATTAAACCCATTTGTTAAAATGGTCGGAAAACCTGACACAAATTCAACTCATCTTTAACCCAATCGACCCAAACTCGAACCGAGTAGCCCAATCATTCAAGTTCAGTTCAAATTTTGAGGCAGACTTTGGGTTAAACTCAGGTTTCTGGATTAACCGGAATCCGATATGAAAATTATAGGCAGGATCCTAGACCCAAATCAAACCTGGAATTTTAATCAAATCAGCCCAAAACCAAAATTTTCATATTAGATTTGAGTAGAATTATGGTTCGGGCCAATTTTTTTGATCGCTAACTATTAAAATGATGGTAGAAAGGAAAATACTAAATTTCAATCCTAGGTAGCTGAATGTCTATAATAATAATAATAATAATAATAATAATAATAATAATAATAAATAAATAAATAAGCGGTATGTGGGTTAACTTTCGTCCGGAGGTTGGGGGTCATTTGGGAGTCTATCTTCATTTCAAAAACGAAATGAAAAGGCGAGCGAGAGAAGAATCAGAGAAGGAAGAAGGGAGGAAAGTTCATTTTGAGCCCTAAAATCTCTGCTTGCCTGTGACAGAAAAAGAAGAGGAAGCCGTAGGAGGAAGGTTCACGTTGTTTTTCTTTATATGTGATACTTACCACACCCGATCGGCCTCGTTGCTTCTTATTTGAGTGACAACGGAGAGCAAGGAGGATCGGCTTCGTGCGTTGCCACCATGCAAAAGAGGAGGAACAAACCTACGTCGTGCATGAAGGAGAAGCACAGTGTGCGGTGGAAGAAGTCGCGGGTGTGCGGCTTTGGATCAATCGAGGTCGAAGGGAGAAGGGAGAAAGGAGCTCGCGTAGTTGAGCAAAGGCCAAAGTAGGTAGAAGAAGCAGAGGAGAGAGCCTTCGTGCGTGAGTTAGGGTAGATGATCAAATGATTTAAAGGTAAAGAAAAAGACTTAAGTTTAATTAAGTTAATTAATATAGTATTAAATGGGTGTGTGTGTGTGTTTGATGCAACATTTTATTGAATCAAGGTCAAAATTATTAAAATACTGAATTTCGAGGGAAAAGTAACGTGAACTTCGTGTGCGAGAGAAAAGGAAGATTTTTGGGCAGCCAAAAGATTTTAAGGCACCTTGGATTTTCATTAAATTAATTAATGAATTTATTGTGTTATTTATATAATGTTAATATTATCATCTGAATCAAGGATTCAAGACGTTAGAATCAAAAGACCGAGTACTTTGGATCGTGGATTTTGTCGGGAGCACAAAAGAGAGAAATGGTTTATTTATACTCATATTTTAATAATATTAGGTGGAAAGAATATTTGATTCAAAAGATATATATTTTTTAAATAAATTAGTCAAATTTTAGTCATTTCTTTTAAGAATCGGATTCATATCTAAAGGTATGCATATTAATTTAATACGGGCAGTTGTCCAAATAAGTAAAGTGACGGTTTAGCTATTTAGAGGTCTCTTGAAAGCAAATGTGAGTAATTATTTTCTTTTATGTATTAAATTAATATTTATTCAATACAAAATTTTTTGTAATTTTTTAAGGATTCATTTTGTAATTATATGCATTTTGTGAGCTTGAAAGTTTAAGGAAATGAAATGGGAAAGGGAAAAATGAATGTTTCATATTTCTTTTATAAAAAAAGATAATTTAAAGAAAATGAAATGTAAAAATTTAAGTCATATTGAATTACTCTCAGATGGTACTAGTAGGGAATATGATGTATTCATGTCTGTTAAAAAAAATGATAAAGATGTACCTTCAGATGCGATTTGAGGGTACCTTCGAATAAATTTTTTAGGGTACCTTTAGGTATATTTTTTAAAGAACTTTCCGGTATATTTTTTAGGATGCCTTCGGATATATTGGTAATCCTGCTATGGCTCTTAAAGATGTTAAAACGTCAGACACTTAAAGTGAAACATGAATTGATAAATTTAACATAAGAGTTTAAAATTTTATAAATAAATGAAGTGCATTTTTTTTGGTCATTCATGTACAGCATTGGCATAATAGTTTAATGCATATAAAGATTATAATTGCCACTAAGTAAAACTTACTTTTGAAATTAATGATTTTTTTAAGAAAAAGAAAAGAGACTTGGTTTACAGGAGGAGGAACACTGCTGTTAGGTATTTATGATAATAGTTTCTTTGTATTGTTTCATTCGGATAGTGTTATACTGTTTCATATTGGTTTGAGATGTCTTCAAATTATGTTGTTTCTGGATGTTTTAATTTTATTGCACGTTGTGGATTTAATGACTTATATATTTTAAAATTTTTTGAAAAATATGTGAAAAAAGAAATTAAAATATTAATATTATCCGACCGCAGTTTACAATTTAGTTAATTCTAAGCCCCGAGTCGGGTCGTGAGACAGAATGTTTTGAGTGTAGAAGTCTCGAAGCTTTAAGATTTGTAATCTTACTGTTGTGAGATATGTACTTCCTGGCATAGAAATGAGACGAAAAAAGAACACAAGCAAACACAGATCGTTTACGTGGTTCGATCCAACTGGATCTACGTCCACGGGAGGGAATCAATCAAATATTTCACTAAGGCAAAAGAAATGGAGAATACATAGCTTATACATAGAGATGAGCCCTCATCTTCCTTATATGGCCTCCCTCTCAAGCGACACCTTGATACAAGGCCTCAAGATGCTCTCCTCCTCTAACTCTATAGCTATTCTCTCCTCCTTTGTGGTAGCTTAAGATATCTTCTCCCTTCCCTCTTCTAAGCCTCACACCCTTAAGATTTCTTCCCTTTTCTCTCCTAAGCCTCACACCCTTAAGATCTCTTCCCTT